TTTGTATCCAGGAGTGCCTTTATCGAAAACTTTGAGTCAGTATTTACAATAAACATCCCATAAACATCAATGATTCATCAGTCTCTGAGGCCCTAAATCAAACCTCACGTTGTCAGCTGAATATTGACATTTTTCCTGCTGCATCATTGTACACAGAGCAACACAGGAAAACCAGCCTGGCAGTCTATGAAGTTTTTCAATCTCGTCTTGTCTCCAAATAACTTAACTGGTAATGTTAAGACACACCAAACCTACATCAAAAAAAGTGGTTGAGACGAAGGCTGAATGCCTTTGCACACTGACTCCATTTTTGGATGAGTTTTTTGTAACCCGTCATCTGAAAAAAATCGTTACACACAGAAACCGTGCACACTGATTCTGATTCTTTTAATTGTTGTATTCGGTGCGAAAATTTGCAAAACATGACAAAATGAAAAGACACATTTTCTCCTTGCCTCTCTATGCTGGAGTTACCTATCTGGATGTCATCACTGCCTCCCTGTCTTTTATTTGGCACCACAGCTGCAAGAAAGGGCAGAGGTGTCCTTCTTTTCTGTCCGCCAGATTATCATTATCATCCACCTGAATGTTACTGTCTGACCTGTTAAACGTGAGCTATTTGAGTTATGACAGGATACTGTGCACCCCGTTCCTCTGTCTTGTCACAAATGTGCACAATGCCGCCACATTTTCTTCACCGATTCTTGGTCAAACATCTCTGAAGGCTTCTGATGATGCAAAAACCCAGGAAATTGAACCTGTTCCAAAACTTTTTATGATGGCCGAAAGTTTCGGACCCTATGGAAACGTGATTGACACAGCGCAAGGTTGTATTTATTTTTAGACGTGTGAAAATTTCGGATGAAAAACTCGACTCAGTGTGCAAAGGCATTGACTGTTGCGTCACCTGTGTCATGGCCAAAAAGTTGCACATGAACACACCACAAAGACCACAGCCAATGGCCAACTAGCACATATATACTGCGCCTGCATGAGAGGAAGCAACTCTCCATACCAGCAGGTGGCGGTAGTCTGTATTCGTCATTAAATATGGGAAAAAGGAAGACCAACAGGATGCACTGAAGACGCTAGTTAGCCAAATAGCACATTAACACAGTCCGATGTTTAAAGAACAAAGGATAGTTCCCGAGCGTGAGCAAATAATAACACAATTTCTCCTAAAGAGTTCAATAGCTAAAAAAACAATATTATCGCTTAGCTGTTTGTTTGCTTTCCTCACTTCCATTTCTCTTCACATGCACTGAGTTGAATTGCCAATCAGATTGCCTACAGCACGTAACACGCGACTTAAACTAGGGCGACAGGCGCTCACCAACAGCTCGATATTGACCAACAGTTTACCGTCCATTTGGTGTGCTCAGGCCCTCAGGATGATTGAAAAGGAAGGCAGAGCAATATATATTATATTTTAAGAATAGGCCCAAGACTGGCAACTTTTGGGAGAAATCTGGGAAATACAGAATTGATTTTAGTATAGTAATGTCTGCCTGGCTCATTGTAAGCCAGAAGTGAAGTAAGACTAAGTCCTTAACAGTGCAAAGATTGTTATACTTGAAGAGTAAAACATGTATTTGTCATTTTGTGAAGGTCGTAAGGGTGCTGTGGATTTTGACGATGAGGTGAACCCCATAGCATCTGAACTCTCTGAATACTTGAAGTCTCTGCCGGGGGAGTCCAGGATCAGATCATCCCTCCGTTGCCTGGAATGTGGAAAAGAATGTGAGAGTCACTCAGCTTTACAAGCACATCATATCACGACACACACAGAAACAGCTGGCGAACCAGACGCAGTCGAGCGCAGCGCATCGCAGCTTCTCTTCTGCCGCCGCTGTGGCATTCAGTTCAACGAGAAAGAAAAGCTGGAAGAACATATGAAAACCCACATCAAGGAGAAGCCCTACTCCTGTCCCGACTGTGGCAAGAGGTTCATCAATGAGAGCTACATCCAAGTTCACCAGCGCATCCACACTGGGGAGAAACCATTCCTCTGCTCCCAGTGCGGCAGAGGCTTCCACACGGCTTCCTCACTCAAGCTGCATGAGATGCAGCACTCCGGGGAGAGGCCCTTCGCATGCACCATCTGTGGGAAGACGTTTCGGATAAACTCGTACCTAACAGCACATTACCAGACCCACATCAAAGACAGACCTTTCATTTGTAGTGTCTGTGGGAAAGGCTACTCCAGAGCTGAGGAACTGAAGGTGCACCACAGGCTTCACACAGGAGAGAGACCCTACGAGTGTGGAGAGTGTGGGAAGAGCTTCATTTACCGCCAGGGTCTGCGGCAGCATCAGCGCACACATGCTGGAAGACGCATCGGGCCAACCAGACAGCTCGGTAGACCGAAGCAACAGGCCAGGCTGGACATCTAACAGTTGATCTATTGATGCATTTTTTGTTGTTAACCGTGTTTGAAGATATTACAGTAAAATTGCGCTTCTTTCCTGTTCTTCTTCCTTCCATTCCTCCCACCTACAGCAGAGACGATTACTGTGTCTGAAAATATACGCTACAGAGTCAGTGTGGGTTGCCAAGAATAATGTGGAAGCTTACTGTGTCGTCTTTCTCGTAATCATGTTTTGTACCCATGTTTCTCTGTTTACTCCTCTCTAGTAGCCCATCTGTACAATTTGAGTGCCTTTGTATCCTGCATGCCAAATACTAATACTTAATGTTAAAAAAATATGCACAATATCCTTGTTATTTTAAAAATCCATGTTGATGGAATACAGAAATTTTTCAGAAATGTGTTTTGTTTTCTTTTCTACATTTGTAGTAAGACCAGCTCTCCCTGATCATCTTAGTGACCCAGCTTAGTACAACATACTATTAAAACTCCACCAATCAGAGATCAGTGCCTGAGTTACTTGTCCCTAAAATGATAGTCCCTCCTAAATCCTATTAGTAGCAGATCCTCATCCCCTGTAGTCTTGAAAGATGGACTGTTAAAAGTTGCTGTGGTCAACTTGAACCACTCCTGCAGAAAAATCAAGTCAGTGAAGTTGGTGTCGAAGTGCCTAAATCCTGCATTCTTTCTACAGGCCAGCAGGGGGCGACTCCACTGAATGCAGAAAGGATGCAGATTATACAAGTCTATTGGAAAATGACCCCACTGCTCTTTTGTTAAATTACCTAAGTAAACATTTTCCTAATGGGTTTATGGTGTCAATTACTAGTTTCGAGCCTTTTCCTTAGCATAATAATTTTATAAATTATGGTCCTAGTAAGATTGAATAGACAGTAAAGCAGGGTATGCTTTAGGGCAGGGTCAGGCAACCTGAGGCTCCCTGTGGCTTTGACAGAAAGTTACCTAGGAATTAATAATGGTTATTTTTTAACATCCAGATTTTTCATTTGTCATTGTTGTAGGCCTAAAGTGATTATTGCATTCTACAACTGTAAAAATGCATCGCCTATACACTGAATTAAAAAAAGTTTCAACATTTTATCAACTAAAATGTGCATCATACGTCCACGACCTGTTGCCGTTTCAGTAGCGGTGGCCTGAAGTCTCCTTAGCATGGCTAGCTATGGATTTCAAAGTCTTGGAGGAAAATAGGGGATTTAATGTTACGTGGACAGATTAATTTGCTTTCACCACCAACGATGCAAAGTTTAAGTACAAAATAATTATAAATAGCCCACTACAGAGTAGCCAGTAACCCAAAATTAAAGCAGTTGACCTGAGGACAGTGCCACCCAATCACCCAAGTGATTACAATTCATCTTGAGCGGGGCATGAATACCGGCACCAAATGTCATGGCAATGCATCCAACCCTTGTCAAGATATTTCACTCAAGACCACAGATATTAACTTCATGGCACTGGAGAAAAAGTCAGAGGATCACCAAAGTCAGCAGGCATATTGGCTCCAGACAGATTTTCTTTCTTTCTTTTTTTGGCCAATAATGGCTCTTCAAACATTAAGGTTGCTGACCACTGATTTAGGGTGTTGCCACCTTGTAATTGACAAGTCAATATCACGGCAGACTCGTAATCCATCGTTTGTTGGCCCGATGACAATCCTCTGAGTGCAGCGGCCAATATTTTAGGAAATCTGTTCAAGCAGACAGATATCCAGGCCAAGACCTCCTCTTCTGAGCACTGGTCAGATAATCTGCATTTGAATGCAGATAAATTAGAAAAAGCTAATAAAGTTAAATCATCGTCAGACAGCAGCTGATGGGTTCTGGCTCTCTACACAGATTGTTTAAGCACTGCTCAAAAATGATTCGTCAACACTACTTGGACTACAAACTACAAATGGACACCAGAACGCTTCCGATACAAAATCCTGTCCCACGCCTACAGATTCTACATACAGATATTACTACCACAGCAACCTTAGTCCACAAACCAATGGGTAATGTCAAAGAGGCTTTTGTGGTGAGCCTTAATAAAATGTTTTCCCCCCTTTAATTGTTTTATGCTTGTCATCTTTATCTTGAATCACAACTTAGATAATGGAGGCCACATTATGCTCATTTTAAAGTTCATACTTTTGTTTCAGTGGCTTACTAGTCCAATCTGTTGTGACTGGTCAGTTGCTTATGGCATGTGAGAAATGTTACGCCATTTACATTAACTGCATTCCAGCTCCTGGGACCTGGGCCCAGTTGTTTCGTAGTAATCCGATTAGATTTCGGATTGGATCAAATCTTTATAAAGGGTTGTTAAAAAGAAAAAAAGTGTTGAAATAAAATTAAATCACAGTCCAGTTTTGGTTTTGGTCTGGATCAGACCCTCAGTATACCTTGTTCAGAACTTTGAAAATATAAGCAGTGACGAAATGTAGTTACGATGGGCCCCAGTGCACGTTGTTATGACAGGCCTCCATGCACGCTATCGTGCACATATCATCTCTTCACATGATCAAACAGAGGCATGACATTAGACAACATCGACACACATTTTAGAGCAATCATTATATATATATATATCTGTGTATGACAAAAAATACTTAAGACATCAGAAAGTATTCATTTAATAATTTCAATTGTTTATTTCTAGTTGTAGAAATGTTGAATAAGCATATGACTTTTTTGGTAACAAAAAAAACAAGGGATGATGGGGTAACCTTTTTCTTAGGCATATACAGCAAACGGCACCATTTTTGATTTAATGAGAAATCATCTTTTAACACAAGCATATTTCCAAGGTGACAGTCTCTCTCATAAGGGCCCATTCTCCGCCCAACATGTTACTAGAGGGCCCTTCTCTCTAAAGGCCCTGCTTTAAGTTATATATAGTGTCCTTGCTGACAGTCAAGAGCAAGCCAGTAACTCCGAACCACCTTTACAATCAAAACTGAGGTAGGATGTTTCACAACGGTCAGTTTTTATTTTGTACTTACTTATATTTTATCATAAGTGTCATTTATCTACAGAGCTGTAACAACTGTATATTAGATGACTGACTAAAGTGTCTATTTTTAACTTCTTGTTAAGGTGCACTTGTGAAAACTGTGCAAGAATGCCCAGCACAGTTGAAAATGTCTGATGCAAAGAAATACAAAGGTTAGCTAACATTATGGAGCTTCTTACCTTGAAGGACAAACAGCAGCACAAACCTAACATTGCTTGAGTTGGAAAATATAACCAAAAGTATCCTGATTAAAATCTAGCTGTCACCACCTTTGCAATTTAAAACCAAATGTACTTTGATTCTTGACTGTAGCAGTTTCAGTACATCAGATTTGGGTTTTACAGATTTCTGCTGTATACAGTACAAAGTCATAAAAATTGCTAGTGCTTTAAAATGTTTTCACCGTCTGTTTAGTGTGACCAGTAGGCAAAATTTCAGCTACACTTTATAATCACCTCCTGGCTGCAATTATCAATATGTTTATGTTTGACAGTGACACATGTTGCCTCCTGGACCAATATTTGTCCAGGAACCAGGTCCTAGTCCCTCCTACACGCTTGGTACAACCATCCAGGCGTAGAGCTACACTTTGAAGCCCTTCACCCCGCAGAACATCAAACATTGACAGAGCTGACTTTTGACCTTTGAGGTGTATAACAGAGGAATAGTACATGTAACGAGATACAACTGAGTAAAATAAAATCAAAACACTAAGATTTTATTATACCGCAGAACCACTAAGGAAATAAGACTGAAATATTTTTCTCAAAATAACATCCTTTTAGCAAATGTAAAAAAGAAATAATACAAAAAACAAAACTTTTGTAAAGATCCAGTGTGCAATCCTCTCCATACAGGGCTTTACCGGCCTCTCTCATACCGGTATGGCAAGTCTTTGGGGAGGGGGATTTTCTTTAACTCTTCAACAAACGGCGCAGGGTCCACAATTACCTCCTCGAAGACGAGCCTCATCAATTCATTCAGGTAATCTGTAAAATATTACATTCAAATTCAGGACTTTTCTGAATCCACCTTCCTTGTTCATGTTGAAAGTGTGGCCACAATTATTTCAATTTGCTTTCATTGTATTGCTTTGTAATGAAAATATTTGTACTTACTGTATGTAGTGTCTGTTTTTACAGGCTTTAAAGTGCATTCGCCCATCTCGAAGGACACAGCTTCGCTGACAGCTTGTCCTGCAGGTGCTTGTTCATGGTCCACATTTTCATTGTGGTGCATGACTGCTAGGTACAACCTACAATAACAGAGTGGTGACAATGAATGACCTGTAAGTTAATTTTGTCTTAAGGGCTTATTGGCCACTAATCAGTAACTCTGTTATAAGGCAAGTCAAGTTTATGAATATTTATAGCACCATTCCTACACAAGGGAATTCAAAGTGATTTACAGGGGCATAAAAATACCTTAAGAAAACATTAAAACAGCATTCACACATTTAAGGACAATCAAACAAGCAAATAAATAGTTGCAGGTTAAAGAAAAAGTTAGGTTTTTGAAAAGCCACAGGGAACAATAATGTTTTACGCCCTGATTTAAATGAGTTACCAGTTTCAGCAGGCCTCAGGAGCTTGTTCCACAGGTGGGGAGTGTAGAATCTTAAAGCTGCTTCACCTTGCTTGGTTTTGTTCCTGAAAATGCTGAGTAAACCTGTCCCAGATGACCTAAAGGGTCTGGGTGCTTCTTAGTATACACGTAAACCAGAAATGTATTTAGGCCTGAGACTATTCAGTGCTGTATGGACTACTAAAAGGATTTTAAAATCTATCCTTTGACATGCAGAAGCCAGTGAAGTGATTCAACGACCGGTGTGAAGTGCTCCACTGTCTAGGTGTTAGTGCAGACTCTGGCAGCAGCATTCAGGATGAGTTGCAGCTGTCTGATTTTTTACAACATCCTATGAATATATTTTGACACGGCTGCTTAATGCTTGATTTTAATTGGTCAATTATGGCATTCTGCAGTCTATTATTTATGAATGGCAGACCGTTTCTATGGACATAGTTTTGAATCAATATTGTGTGTGAAATTATTGATTTCTTTAGTAAGTAGCTAAGTGGGATCATGTACACTGTTGGGGTTTTACTACAATGACCTGCTTTCTGTACATTATCTCTTACTTACAGAATCCATTAATTACCTGCACAGCAATCCCATGAAAGAGTAGATCACATTCTCAGGTAAGAAACGTAGGATCAAATTGTGGAAGGCCTTCAGCGATGAACTCTGGTCATGGTGGCTCAGCTTCCTCACATCCTTGAGAACTCTCTTGTTGTTCAGGATTTGTTCCACTCTCTGGAGTGCCACTGACCCTTGAGTAATATTACAAAAGCATTTTGTTAAACAGCAGCCCATCTAAACAGTCAATATACACCAATATATTTGCATTACATATGAAATGGAAAAAACAAATTAATTTTCTATTTAATATTATGAAGGCACATCTTGTTTACAAACCTGGTTGGAACCATTTCTTAGGATCCTTTGACACTCTGTCAGGATGTTCACATTTGGGGAAGATGGGGTCTTCATGCACGTGTACATTTTGAATGTGGTTGACCAGTGACTTCCACTTAGCTACCTTCTCAGACCCTGATGTCGAAGAGGTCGCACTCCAGTAGAAGTGGTTTTTCATGCTGCTCAGCCATTTCTTCAACACCTCACAGTCCTTGCTTTGTGCAAGTCTTTCTAGTGTCGTGGATAAACCTTAATGAAAGTACACATGCAAGAAATCAATATTCAAGACACAGTTTGATGACGACCTGTTGCGGTGACAAAATGCACAGAGTGCACAGAGCATTTACTTTTCTCAATGTGCCACACGCCGTAGAGCTGTTTGATGTTGCGCTCCTTCAGTAACTTCTGAACTTGTGGATGTTGGTCGGTTACAACGTATTCCACCGCCAAACTGTTTGACTTCAGAAGATCTAGGCTTCGTTTCAGTCCCTCCCTCCCTATCCGGTAACAACCACCTACTTCATCGCTCTGGTGGTTGGTGGAAACACAATTGCAAAGATATAAATGTGAAGCATGTTTCAACATTTTGCAAGTTTAAAAAAAAAAATCCTAAAAGTGTAACACACCATAACAAGCTGCAGATCCATAATGATGTTGCTCTCCAGGTGCGTCAAAGTGTAGCTGCCGTACTTTGCCGAGTGTCCTAAGGAAACATAATAAGGTTGCAAGGCTTATCAACACAAACAGAATGGATAAGCTAGATGCTCTTTAATATTTTTTTTGTCAAGAGTTTTGAATTACCTGGCGAGTCTGCTTGTAAATCTCCACCAACTGCAACCTTCCCCTTCTGCTGTAGCTGCTGAAAAAGATTCTGCTGATCCGTCTTCCATTTGTGGACAATTGCAGGCTCCAGGAAACTCCTTGCATGCCTCCTGTAGGTGTCATATGGGAAAATCTGGAGCTGCATGGCCTTGCATATCTATGAATACATGAAAAAAAGGAAAGGGAAGTTGTAGAAAAGTTCCACTGATTGTAATTTTCATATGCAGGGAATGGAAACAGCAGCACCTTTGCCAGTTGGAAGAAAGATGCACCAGTGAAATATGTGGCTGCCGATAACTGGAGGTTGCCAACAGGCGTACTTCCAACAATGGGCTGGCTCTGCCACTGTCTGGAGTAATTACAGCTTTGGCAGAGCTGAGTGAATGCCACATAAGTACCAATTCGTCGTCGCTGGACATCACACTTTGTCTTGCATATTGGACAGGTGTCAAACAGCTCTCTGAGGCAGCTTTCAAATACAAGGTACTTTGTATCACTGTACCTTGGCCTTGACTCAAACCTAACATGACAACACAACAACAACAAGACATTTTTGCTTTAGCTTTCAAACATTTTTTTCCATCTCTGCTGATAACTCATAGCTACATATAGCCAAAATATAAAACTTAGGACATTTTAGATTTCTCTGTAACATCAGAGCTGCCAGGGCCATACGTTGAGTCATGAGGCTCTTCATGAGGCTGAGCTTGGAGCTCTGTATTAGTGTCTCCCACTTCCTCTTCCTCCTCCTCCTCCTCCTCCTCCTCCAACTCCAGACGAGGTCTCTTGTTTGGTCTGAAGCCTGGAGCCCTTGTGGGTGTTGAAGACGGTAGGAAATCTGGGAAACTGGAAATGGATTTGTTGACAGCACTGAGAGAAGACACCGTTGTCTGGGTGGCTACGAATGAAAGAAAAAAGTCAAAAGGTCATGAGAATGGGAGCCTGAAATATGAAATCCATTAGCTTTTAGTGGACTGCTAGATGCATTGTATTTCCTATAGTCCATATAACAGTATTTCAATATCAATTCCCAAACACAAAAACACAAATAATGCCTGTGTTGTATACCTTTGCTTCTCACATGCTGCTCCTTCAGTGTGCCCCAGGACAGCTGTGTGGCAACCGTCTTCTGAGATGCTATAAACTGTGTGCTCACTGAGGCGGTGTTTTGAGGGCTCGTTTGGCATCCAATATGATTGATTCTTATGGCAAAGGGGTCTTGGGCTAAGACATCCTGCAGTGTGGCAAATGAAGTAGTTAAAACCAAGTTAGCATCAGATGAAAACAGTAAACATCTAAAACGCTTAACAGTACTGTCTACTGTAAAACCAGCAAACAACGCTGTCCAGTTAAACACACGTACACAAACCCACATGGTATCCGTATATTATATATAAATACAGCCCCAGCTGTTTATCTCGGGACCAACTACACTGCTGTGAATAGTGAACAGCTTCCATGTAACAAATCCAAGTAAAAGGCATACTGTACATCTAATATTGGATAGCAGGCCTATATGGACTCAGAAAGCTGGATTGGGTATCTGTGACAATGGGGCTGATCTATTCAATTCTATGTTTATAGTTTCAGCTGCTATATTATATTGTGATTTAAATTTCTATGTAGCCTGAAGATTCAGAAAGAATTTTGATTCTTGTTTATTTTTCAAATGTTTAGTATTTATCAAGTTTGTTTGCACATGTTTGTGACTGATATTTACCTCCTGTTCAAATTTTACAGTGTATTGTTTAGTACTTGAATTTGAACTCCTGTTTAAGTTTCAACCATTTTTTTGCTGCATTTAACAAGTTTACACTTGAATTGTATTTCCTGTTCATTTTTAAGATTTTCTAACAAGATGCTGGTGCACGATAAGTTATTTTAATAACAAATAATTCAGAAAATTCTAGAGATGGGGAAAAAAACTTGATAAAGCATAGTGTCACAATATTTTTTGTGTGGCAATACTGTATAGTCACACAGTGCCAAGTATTGATTTTTTTTAATGATATAAATGACTAATATTACAAATTAAACTTTAGGTTACCTACTTGAATAATAAAATCAATTGCTTTTTCAGTCCACTAGAAACATTTTGCTGCAAATAAAATGAATGAAGTGAGATTAACAGACTGGAAAATTTACCTCATTAGATATAACAGATATTGACAAAGTTTTCCTTCGGGAACGAAATCTACAGTTGAATGAAGGTGATAAATTGCAATATGTCGCGATATATTGTATTGCAATACTCAGCATAATGCAATATCGCAATAATGGTGCATCATGATAATATCGTATCCTGGAGTCTGGTGATTCTCAAGAATATTCATACTAATGAATTTGTCACAATGTTTTACAAGCTTAGGAAAGCCGTGTGCAAGTCAAGCCTGATGTCTCTCACATGTAAAGTGATCCCAGTCACTTAGGTTTTATTGATGTGTGGGATTGGTACTCGATATCAGCCGACACCCAGAGCCCAGATATGAGTATCGGGATTGAAAAAAAAATCGACATGCACCTCAACACTTAGGATCGAAAAAACGCCACATTTCTACACAGTTTTAGGTAAAAGTGTGCCTACAGCTTCATAGCAAAACATTTCAACACAGTAACACTAGCTAACGTTAGTTCAGTTAGCTGAGTCCTAATGTAACGTTACATCTTAAAAACAACCAACACTCGGTAGCAGCTACATTGTTTGTTGTGAACATAAATCCACAGCTGGTACAGCATAACGTTACAGTACTTACGGGCTGTGGTTCTCCATCTTCAGATTTGACCACAGGCACAGTGGGAACAGCTCCTTCTTTGAGGAGCAACCTTGTAGAAAATCCAGATTTGTATGATTCCAGGTTCCGGAAGGAGTCCGGGGTAAAATGTCGGGAACACAACACAATATTGGAGTTGTACTGCTCAGGAATAGTGGTAAAAATGAATGTTAACCACTGCTTCCTTAGGGCTTCGTCGTTTGGAAGTCCACACAAAGAGTGGCCGCGTTCGCACCTAAAAAAACAGCGTCTTCTCGACATGGCGGACGAAACTCTCCTTCTCTTTCTTCTACTTGTCCCACTTTCTCTCCTTCTAGTTGATGATATTTGTCTGCTGCTGCTGCTGCTGCTGCTGCTGCTGCTACTACTTCTTCTTCTGCTTCTGCTGCGGCTGCTGCGGCTGCTACTTCTTCTTCTGCTGCTTTAACGGCGGTTGGCAATCAACGTATCGGGAGCATTACCGCCACCCAGTGTTTATAAGCGTGGAGTTACAACCCAAATCCTTCAGGAAAAATAATCCTATCCCCTCTCTCAGTTTATCCAATAGGCTTTATTGGCATTAACATGGCACATTAACATGTGTTGACAAAGCACAAATACAATTACAAATTAAAAATCCATTACAAAAAATTACAAATACAAAAAGATAGTGAATGAAGCAATTGATCACATGAAAGACCATATTAGTCAATGCAGTAGAATATGCAGGCTGAATCAATGTGTAAGCAAAATGGGAAAATATCTAGTACATACAGTATATAGAAATACACATATACATGCATATGTCATGTCTCGCGTTTACCTATAAACACGTTTTATGTGTTTGTGTGTGGAAACAAACAACAACAGAAAAAAAGGAGTAGAGAAGTAAATTTTAAAAAAAAAAGCAGACTTCAGAATTTCTGTGTTGTTGTAGTTGTTGTTGGTGGTGTGTGTGTGTGTGTGTGTGTGTGTGTGTCATAGGTGTACTACAACAATATAGTAATACAAAATCATACACATAACTTCTAAAGGGGGAAAAAACTGAAATGTAGGACTGAATAAAAAAGGCAGAGCGAGCTGTGAGGAGATGAACTCCAGCTGTTATATGTTGTTGTGTTGGTTGTCTCTTAGGCTGTGACATGCACTGACATATCTTGCTGCATCTATGGCGCTGACAGTTTTTCTCCAAGATGTTGCACTTGAGTCTGGTCAGAGAGTGAATTAAAATCTTGGAGTTTACATGTAATTTTTGCTAAGAACTTTGTTCCCATGTCCTTATATGTTTTGCATTGTAGCAGGAAATGTTGCTCTGTCCCCACCTGTCTCTGAAGACAGAGCTGACACAGCCTGTCTTCTCCAGGCAGCCAGGTCTGCCTGTGTCTGCCAGTCTCTTTAGCCAGGCTGTGATCACTGAGTCTGTACATAGTCAGTGTCTTACCCAGTTTCTGATCTGGCACAGTGGTTAGATAGTTTGCTACTGTGTACTGTCTGTTTAGGCCCATACTCAAACAAATGGTTAAATTCCCATTTTATGGTATAGATGGTGATTTTGAGACAATAAATTCACTTTTTTTATGAAAAAAGAATTAATATCCACTGTTGTTAATACTATATACTCACTATCATTCCATTATGTGATTAAAAATATCAGTATTATTTATCACAATATGTTTTAAAGCACTGAAATGGTGAATATCTAGACTAAATACGTGGAAATGATACTAGGACCAGTAATACTACCAGTTCCACAGTAACATACTGATGTATGTTGGTATACTAACATATTACAAACATTATAACAATGCATAGTTTGAAGTTTAGATATTTTTTCTTTCTGTTTTACAAATTCCATAAAATGACATGTCAACCACTTGGTAAAGGCCTATATTCATAAAACTATGGGGACTGTTAAGGAGAAAAACAAACAAGCAAGGTTGTTTATTACTGGCCCAAGGAAACAAACATTAAAGGCTTAAGTACAGGATGAATGAATAAGAATATAATTTCGTATGATTGCATATCATACAAAACGTAGCTGTTAAACCTGGTGGAAATCAGCTTTTAAAAACAAGTCAAGTAGCTACAAGTACTGATTGTGGTTTTAGGGATGCTCGCAGTTTGACAGTTTGATTTCCTTATTTCTGTCTCTCTATCTGGCAACCCTGAACCTAGCTAGCCTCCGTGCTCACAAGCATTTAATGCTAACTGTTGTTGTAGTCTTACTGCTTGTACAAAGACATTAAATACATTTTCATACATGTGCAGCGGTGATGCTGGCAGTCGGGGATGTGAGTTTAAGCTAACGTGGTGATTTGAAGCCACCATGAATGAGGTGAGTTATATTAATTTGCTCACAAAGGTCGAGTTAGCATGCAGCATGCTAACTAGCCGTTAGCCAGCTGTCCAATAACGGTCAGAGCCGCTTCATTAACTTCAGTTAGTGCAGTTATGACGCGAGGCAAGTCAAACATCAGGCTCGTTGGGTAGACGAAAACTACAAATAACATCCTGTAAATATACTCTGTTACATGAAAAGTCCTGCATTGAAAATGGGACTTAAATAAAAGCATGTACTGGTGAATATAATCAGGAAAATATATTAAAAGTTAATGTAGATAAGTGTCTTCTGTTACTGTCAGTTGGAGCACTTTGTAATTGGAGGTTATTTTAATATTTTGTATCGGACTACATCCAATAATTATTTTCACAATAAATTAGTGTGAGGATTATTATTTTTTAAATTCTCTTTTTATTTAGTTTATGGGTGTCAAACCTATGGCCCCGGGGCCAGAACCGGCCTGCCAAAGGGTCCCCTAGCGATCCTCTAAATGACTTTGCACCCCTAATGTTGATGCACATATGAAGGCTGAGAGCTTTCAGGAGCAATTTAAAGAGCGAGCAGATACTACATGTAAAATACTGCCTGACCAGAACACAGCTCTCTGATATAACAATGAATACTTTCTGTGGCCATATTTAAAGATATTGAACATTGTGCAAAATATTGTCAACCAGCAGCTTCAGTACAAAAGAATCTGTATCAAACTTCTGTCTTAAAACAATATTAGTGTAACCCTGCTGCTGAGGCACTGATAAAACTTCAGATTGTAAGACAGGGGATGACTTAACCTGCTTCTTTAATAGCTTCAACTTTAGTGGAAATTATAAATATGTGGTGAAAATGACCAAGTTATGAAATAAATGAACAGCGTGCACACTACAGGCAGGATTGAAGTAATAGATAAGTGATCGTTGGAGACCTGCAGTGTACGAGCTTTATGTTTATTTAGTGTCGTAGTATAAATAATATATTTTCTAATTTATCACTATCATCTTTAGTCATGCAGGATTTTTTTTGGCTGAGATTTTGAGACTTGTGGTGGTGTGGTGGTTAGCACTCTCGCCTCACAGCAAGTGGGTTGCCGGTTCGATCCCGGGCGTGGGAACCCTTCTGTGCAGAGTTTGCATGTTCTCCCCGTGTCAGCGTGGGTTCTCTCCGTGTGCTCCGGCTTCCTCCCACAGTCCAAAGACATGCAGGTTGGGGACTAGGTTAATTGATAACTCTAAATTGTCCGTAGGTGTGAATGTGAGTGTGAATGGTTGTTTGTCTCTATGTGTCAGCCCTGCGATAGTCTGGCGACCTGTCCAGGGTGTACCCTGCCTTTCGCCCGATGTCAGCTGGGATAGGCTCCAGCCCACCCCAACACCTACCAGCATCTTTGTTTCATGTTTGCAGGTAATGCTGTCATTGTTTGCCAAACCTGAACATCACCACTCTCCGAAAATGACACCCAGAAAACGTCAGAAGAAAACACAGTGTGAGGAGCTCTTCAGCTGCACTGAATGCAGCAAGAGTTTTCAGAGCGTATACGGCAGAGATCGCCATCTGAGAGAGAAACATGACAAACCACCACTTCACAAGTGCTGCGACTGTGGATGGACATTTAAAGTCAGCCGGAGCTTGATGGTCCATCAGCGGATCTACCATCCAGCACCTGCAGTGGCAGTGGAGCCTGGAGAAGAGCCAAGTGCTCCAAAGTCTTACATGTGTTCAACATGTGGAAGGCAGTTTCCTACAAGCGCTGCCCTTAAAAGACACCTTATTATCCACTCAGGGAAGAAACCGTACAAGTGCACTTTGTGTGGACGAGGTTTCACACAGATTGGAAACCTCAAAACGCACCAGAAGGTTCATAAAGGTGAGAGCAGTGTGGTCTACAGTATTTCTCTTCACCTTTATAATGTTGAGACAGCTGCAGTGTCTTTCTGTGATGATCTCTCTTTTTAACAATCAATCATCATTTGTAAATATCTACCTTCTTGTTTATCTGAGCTTTTTTTTGTTTGCTGCGTGATTAGACCTTGACCTACTTTAACCTGGATGAGAGTAAAGTTATGGGCCATAAAACCAAAGCAATGCTTAACACTTAAAGTAGCTAAAACACTCTGTAGTTACTATGGGGGGCTATGGAATATTATTATCACTTCTATGCAACCACTTTCACTTCACACGTTGTAAGTTGATTCATTGTTAATATGAAGATAATGGCAGCAAGGATGTATAATTGATTAGTTTTTTTCTTCCCATAGGGAAATTCACAAATGTGGCGGCATTAGAGGAAAGTTTCCCTCCACCTGAAAAGACTCAGTCATCAGTGGAAATCTGCCTCTGTCATTTGTGTTGGACACAATTTTCAGAAAAACAACTTTTAGAAGAACACTTAAAACAATTTCACCAATCAAATAATCCGTTTTCCTGCACACAGTGCGGCAAAAGATTTACTCATATCCACAAATTAAAATAACATGAAGCTGTTCATGAGGGTCTGAAGCCCCACCAGTGCTCACTGTGTGATAGAGGTTTCCTGAGCTTGAAGGGACTCGAGAACCACATGCGAGATCACACCGGAGAGAAACCTTTTCCGTGCACTGTGTGTGGAAAAAGGTTCAAGCAGGAATCTACTCTGAGAGCACATTATGTGACGCACTCTGGAGAGAGGCCTCACCTCTGCTCCATCTGCGGGAAACTTTACGCGAGGACTGAAGAGCTCAAAGTTCACCTCAGAGTTCACACAGGAGAGAAGCCGTACCAGTGTGACGAATGCTGAAAGAGTTTCTACTACAGGCAAGGCTTCAACAACCATAAGAAGACTCACAGTGCCAAACTCATCGGTCCAACCAGGCAGCTGGGCAGACCCAGACAGCAGGGAGGTACCAGGAAGTCAAGGAAGATCTCAGTGAGATCTCCGCCTGATTCAGACGGAGAGGACCTGACCTGGGAGCCTGCTGACCTTGGTAGGTGTGTTGATTAGGCACACATGACCATGTACTTCACAACATGAAAACTTAAGTCTGTGATGAGATTGCAAAGTTATTTTAACAACAGAGAGACAAAAATCAAATTTCCCCTCGAGGGACTAATAAAGGAATTCTTTCTTCTTTAAAATCAAGTTGGTCAATGTGGGTTGAGCCTTTCAAACACAAATTCTGCGCTGGTTCAACCCTGGTTGAGCCCTCAGTGTGAAAGGGGTATGAAAGAGACGTCACATATCTGCAAACAACTAGTTCATTTTGCAGTTTTTATTTTACAATCGTGCATTTACAGATTTCTCTGACTCATAAACCATCTTACCAGTAGTCACAAAACAGAGAAATATAAGCCAAAGTGACCTGTAATAAGCCCTTGTTTTTTACTCTCAAAACAGACCAAATATCATTCGCATTTGCTGTATCAGTTACATTGTCCATTAACTTTTTATGCCCTGTGATGTAGAAAAAAACATATACTCTTATTAACATATGTTTAATACAGATCTGATCGGAGAAGCTTTTGGCACAGCATGATGCACAGACAAAGACATACCAGAAACTTAAAGTAACACATCAGTGACTCAGCCTTACATAGTGTATTTGACACGTCATACAGATGTGTCTAACATTGGAGTCTTCGTAATTACAAGGTCTTCGTCTTACAGTATCTTAACCTTCAGACACCTTCAGAGCCTCCTCATATACCTGCATGCAGACAATGAGGGACTTTGTAGCTTTTCAAAATACCTTACCACGACCATGGATGAATCATATATTTATACAAATATTATTATTATACATGATGACATTCAGGTACTTTCAGATTTCAGACAACAATGACATATACTATATTCTGTAGTTACAATAGGCACGTAATATACCTTACTCTTAAGCCCACTTCAGAACAAAGATTTGCGACACGACAAAACGGTTTAAGAACGTTGCAGAGAAAGTTGCAGCGGTGTCAACTTGCCGTCTGAGCTCAACTCAAGCGGGCTGATGGTGTCACCTGCTACGCCGCTGGCCAAATTGCCAGCGGCTGGTTTTAGTAGGTAAAGTTCGTCACTTGTTTCTACATCCAGTCGGCTTGTAGTGAAGTCAGATGGCGTGTTCACCTGCTGCGGCAGGTGCTCTGTCCCCGCTGAGCCCTCTGAGCTTCACAACACAGTGAAATATACTGCAATATGTTTTCTGTTATAGATATTTTGCAGATTTCTTTTTTGCAAAATCAAAAATATTTGGGGTCTTTGGGGTCATTGATTTCTTCAGGAAGTGAAAATAATTGTCTGTGGGTTTAATAGAGGTTTAAATAGATATTCTCTGCAGAAGCTGTGTGTCATGATGCAGGATTGAAGATATTAATGCATCAAATTAATGTGTTGCATATATAATGGGTACATGTATTTAAAAAATCTCACAATTAAGTGTAAATCAATCAAAACTATAAAGTATTCCCCCTAAATAAGTAGGTTTGATCCCTTGAGTACACATAAATCAATACATGAAATAAGATCAGTGATTATTTTTCTCCAACAGGAGAGATGACCAGAGGTGCAGAGTTTCTATTACCATAATTAAGACCAGGACAGAGAAATGGGAAGAGTTTTTCAGTGAAGGAGCAGCCAGTAAAGGTGTAGATAAGAGCTGCAGAATCTATGTCATAAAAAGAGACCAGACCTTCATCATAATCCACGAACACTCCGACCTTCTGAGGACGAGACCTCAGAGAGAGAGTGACTACAGGGCTGTCAGCAGCTTTGTACTCATTTCCGTCTCTCAAATATATCATCCAGTAACCCTTTGCAGGGCTCAGTGTGATTTGGCCCTTCCTGTTGATAGACTCTTTGGCCACTCCGAAATACCATTCAGTCTTTCTTTTAACTTGAACCTCATAGTAAAATTTTCGTGAAGAGAAATGCTGTTTTCCCAAAACAAAGGCAATGGGAGAAAATCTCTCTGGATTGTCTGGAAGAAATTTCATTACCTTACCGTGGCGTACCTGTTTGCCATCATCAGAAAGGATGAGTGCAGCTTGTGCTGTATTAGGATCAAGAGTCACGTCCACTGCATACTGCTGGACCCTCTTCAGCTCGGCTTCCAACACCTGCCTTATCTTTTTATTGAGTGCCTCCTCCAGCTGAGCTACAGCTCTCACTGCAGTCCCCTCATATGATGGATGGATACTGATCTCTGTCCAGTCCTTGGTGGGCGGTGGATGGTGGGTGTTTAGGGACTGGACACTCTGGAGAAGATGGAGGTGGTCTTCATTTTGTGACAACTGCTCCATCTCAGTGCTTCTCCTCATCAGCTCAGAGATTTCTTGTCCCAGCTCTTCGATGAAAGCTTCAGCCTGTTTCTGTGTCGCTGTCCGCTTCTCTTCTATAGTTTTGATGAGTTCATTCAGGTCTCTCTCAACAGACTCCTTCAGAGAAGTGAAGACCTGAACACCTTCGGCTTTCTCTTTGTCTGCGTCCTTCTCACTGAGCTCGACTGAGTTTTTGATCTCCTGAATTTTTTGTTGTCTCTTCTGGATCATCTGCTGAATTTCAGCCTCCAGCTTGGCCTTCTTTTCTTCATATTCCTCTTTCAGAGGAACTACGTCATGCATCTTGTGGTCTAACACAGTGCAGAGCATGCAGACACCTGTCTGGTCGGTCTTACAGAACAGCTCCAGAGGCTTATTGTGCTTCGTACACATTCTGCCTTCCAGGTTCTGAATAGGGTCTATTAGCTGATGTCTTTTCAGACTTGAAGCTGTCAGATGAGGCTCCAGGTGAGTCTGACAGTAGGAGGCCAGACACACCAGGCAGGACTTCAGGGC